GAAGAAAAAACAAGCACTGACAATTGTAGCTTTAAAAATGGTCATGCATTATTCACCCACAAAGTCACTCTGCCCAGGCCAGGTCTCCCCTTGGGTGGGGTTCAGATGGGGTACAGCAAGGATGGAGGGAAAGGGGCAGGGGTCTGTGCTTCTCATTTTAATAGGGCCACTGTGACCAGCTCATGTCAAAGGGCCCCTTCCTTGCTGTGTCTTCCTCCCTGTCCCTTCCACATCCTAAACTGTCTCAACCATATCCTCCTATTCTATTAAGCCAAGCAAGATAACATTGTCACTGAGCTGGAAACAATCTGCTGCATTTCTTGGGCTCCTGACTTCACTTAGGATTTAAGGCTTGCAGACTGAAAGGGGAAAGTTTCCTCTTACCTTTCCAGTTTTATGACTATGAGGTTAATTAATACCATCAGGCCTACCTAAAAGTCTGAGCCAAGGATGCAGTGGGTGTGACTGACCTTAAATACATGAAGAACTGATTAAACACACACACACACACACACTCTCTCTCTCTCTCTCTCTCTCATAGACACACACACACAGAGATTCTTTCTCAGTGAAATGCAGCAAAGGGTTTACTTCCCCAAATGAAACCAAAGTTCTTCCCTTCTGCTCAGAAATTGCAATGAGATTTAATATGTGTAGGCTTTTCCTCACCTGATTAATAGATACAAAAGACAGGTATTTATGGGCAGCAGGTATAGCAGGAGAATAAGTAGTAGCGTATACAGGTTCCTATAGAGCAAAGCAAGAGGATTAGAGGTAAAAAGAGAAGATTTATCAGAGCATGGCAGGTAGGGGTTGGGGGCGGGGGGTGACGAAAACAATGATTTTTCTAACAGAATGTTAATTTACTCATTGCAATTTCAGTTCTCTTTTCAGAAGAGTCCTTCCTGGAATGCTAAACCTAAAATAAATCCACATGAGCACAGCAAATACACCTGAGTCAGTTTTGTGCAGTAATTAAATGAGTTAATGGGAAGATTTCTGCAATTTATGTATGATATTCTGTTACAGAGAGGGGAACCATGACTTTCATTGACAGTTTTAACATTTAACATAAAATATCATCTTCTTTACTTTCAATACATGATTAAAAAATAATTTAAGGAAGCAGGATCAGCTCTCCACTCTGGATAAAGGCTGCATCTTGCCTAGGGATAGGAAAACCAAACGAGGGAGGGCACAAAAGGGAGCCGTCAATGATCAGAATGACACATGGCGAGGTGGCACTCCGGGGACACCTATGTTAGAGTCAGGCTTACCCAAAGCAGATTAGACATGGCATTACCATCTGTAAATCCTCCTTCTTCCTACAGGTTAAAACAAATAGGAAACATTGCAGAGTGTTGGAATAGAAGAGTCCAGTTAGGGCATCACAGTCATTTTTAAGTATTTTGTACCCGGGTTCAATTAGAAACATGCACGTGCTCACACAAGTGGGTAGCAGACATGTCAAGTAAACTCATCCCTCATCACCTGATAGCAGGATGATCATCTTTAATTTCAAGGTCATACCATTAGCCTTTCTCTCCCTTCCAGCCTCATTCTTTAAATTGACTTCATTCTCCCGAATTGTGATTTGGAATTTCAAAGCAGGTCATTAGAATATGAATGTGGCAGATTTACCTTCCTTAAATTTTCATGGACTTGTTCTGGGGATATCATAGATCTTGGCTTGATTCACTGACCCCATAACTACTGAAGCACAGTAGGATAACAAATCCTGATCTGGGATTTGAAATAGAGGGTTTTAATGGCCAACTCTATAAAGGTTTTTATTTCCTGGAAACAGTCTGATATACTGGATAATTATCTTAACATACGCACATGTGAGTCACTGTATATGCATTAATGTTGAACAGGCTGAAATGGGGCTGGAATCTAAAGTAATTATTTGGTGAAAATAAATAACTGCAGTTTGGTTGTAGCAGAGACTCCAGCCAAATCACTTCTTTAAGACTTTGCTTCATTTCATTTCTCTCTCTGATGGAATGAGTTACTCTGGAGGAGACTGTACACAAATCATGCTCACGTGCACACATTCCACGCAGTGTGGCCAAAGCCAAATCTACAAACCAAATGGCTTTACCATCTTTAGAACCAAGTATATATGCTACAGGAAGCAAAAACGTTTAAGTCAGGTTAGCACTGACGTAGATTAATCCAAGGATGGGAGAAATTTAAGAAGGGAAGCAAGGAGGGGTGAGGGTGGAGGGAGGCCGAAAGAGAAAGAGAGAGAGAACCTAAATGATTTTTCATAAGAAATGACAGAGGCAGCTAAGGAAATAATTAGTGCTTAAGCTCCAAATCACTGATCCTGATTTTTGGGGGGTAAAATTGGAAAGCATGGAACTGCTGCTAAGTTTCACATTCTCTAAGACACGACTGATCTTTTAGTACATAAAGGAAAACTCTAACTTAGTTTCCCAAAAATATATTCTTAGGCCAAAAGAATACCTTCTTACCACATGGAATTTAAAGTGAGAGACTGCTGAGAGAGCCTTAAACCCTTTGTCAGAAACAAAGCAGTTATCGATTTTCAAGGCATCCTTTCACATTTTTCTAATATGGCTACTAGAAAATTTGAAAGCTACTTAGTGGTTCACATTATATTTTTAGTGGCCAGCGCTCACTTCCGTGCTGCACGGGTTTTCGTGGGAGTAATGGAGGTGACTCACTGGGTCCCCCCTCTATGTCCTGCCTCTTCTATACCCCACACGCTGGAATTGCTAACTACGCTTACCACACACAAAAGCTTGAGGAGAACAATCTGTAAAATGGCTGGTAATCACGAATATGTGCTGTTAGATAAATTCAGAAATTGTGGTCAGTGATGACCTGAGCATAAAACCAGATCCTTTCTACCTTTGGTGGTGAAGATGGAAGGTTTCAGCACCTGCTGTCCCAAGCACTCTCCCCATCAGCCCGTCTAAGTGTACCCCATGCAACATCCCCTATCTGCACGCATCATGCGGCATGAATGTCTGACCCTCTTCACGGCAATGTTCAGACAGCCAGCACACAGTGGGCATCTGTCACACACTCCTTGGCTGTCAGGGGACTGCCTTATGACAGACCAGGTTTCAGGCACCTCACCTACCACATTTGAGCACTGACATGCACTGCCAGCCCTTGGGAAGGACTAAAGCAGGGGGTTGTCAGAGGCCATCTGAAAACCACTTGACCTCAAGAGAACTTGAGATATCCCAATGTCAGCTACAAAGGCCTAAAATAGATCAGCTTATTTTAACTTCAAAGAGCTTATTGTCTCAGGCCAAAGGGAACCAGGCCACGGAGGAGGAGCAGAAATAGTGAGTTCACTGTTGCTGCAGAATCTGCAGCTTCCATGAGCCCAGAGACAGCATTTCATTCAACCTTGAATCGTGATGAGCCCCAGTGCTTTAGGTCACTGCGTTTTCTGCCCCAAGGGCCACCACAGTAAGCCAGCATCACTTGCCTTCTAAAATCTGAGCCATGTGGTAAGGCCGTTCAGATCTCATCCTCTACTCCAAGCCGTCTGCTTTTCACTGCCTGAGTGTGCTATACACACTCTTCTAAGTGGGTAGCACATTATTTCACTACTCATGATGTATCTTGCTCTGAGACTTTTAGCTTCATTTAAATTTCCCCCTCTGACATGGGGCTGTCAGCTCCTGAAGGGCTGTATATTCTTTGCATCTTCCAAAATGACCACAAGATATCTGGCACTGCTTGGTGCCATGACACATTCGTTGACAGGTTTGCCGAGGTATGGGTTAAAGATATTTTTGAACTAATGATTTCAAAATTCTTTTAAACAAAGTTTGTGGGCAATGGGGATACATTATTTGAGGGACACACTTTTCTTCTACTCCAGGCTCTCATTCTTGAAATCTAAATTTATACCTTTTAATATCTAGTTATACATGAGAACTTTACAAATGGTTGAGAATGAAATGTCCTTAGTTATCATCCTTAATGCCATGTGTGTCCCCCAAAAGAAAATTAAAATAGCTGTCCCAACATAACCTATGAAGACACACAAGTATCATATAAAACAGTGTCATAATTCCTGACTCACAGTTCTATGTGCACATCTCACTTTTACGTAAGTTTCTTACTGCATAAAGGTCACCTTCATAATTTTTCTCTTCCACAGTTGCTTAACTTATTTTAGAACTACAAGGGGTCCAGGAAGTCATCTAGTTGGAAATATCTTTTTCTTTCTTATCTGAAAACTTTTAATCCTAGAAATTGGCTAGTAGACATGTCATGGGTGTGTCATTTTGCTTCCAGCCAGTGAGTGCATTTGCAGTTGTGGGGCCAACCAGCAGGTGAGCTGCCATCAGTTTTGAAAGTGTGCACTCCCTGGTCCAAAGCTGGTCATCTTTACGTTTGTATTTAACAACTCAATAATACTTTTGCACGTGAAATGCTTGCCAGGATTGATCACCATGTATTACTTAGTTTTATTTACACGTGTAACATACATTGCTGCACATTCTCAATAAAAGGCATGCCTACTCATCATAAAACATGCTTCAAATTATGAATTAAATATTCATGGACTACAACTAAGACCTTATTTTCATCCTTAGATTTTAAATCTCTGCACAGGAAATTCAAGCTCATATTTGATACGCAACTTATATTAGCTCCTAGTGGTGAACGTAAAAAGTTTTTCATTGTAAGGGCTTTCATAACATTCTAAAGCCAGACTTCATTGAAGGTCTGAAACTGAAGGAAAAGTACACACTTTAAAATCTAGGCCCTTGCTGGCTGATGAATCATATGTGCATGCTCTTACCAGTTCTATAACATCGCAAGACGTGACCTTTGGGTCAATTTGAGCTGCAATGTGACAGACTTTAAGTGTGTACGCTACAATCAGAAAAGCACTAATGTTTCAGAGCAGGAATTAGTTCAGTTATGCATGCTCGTCTAGCGGATGCGTTTCCACGCGTGATGTTAGTGAGACTGCCTTTTCCTACCAGGGAAAGCGTTACCTTCTTCTTGAGGGACTGTTCCACCTCTTGAATGTACAGGCTGTTGGTGGCAGGTGCTTTGCCGTACTCCTGCTTCCTGTTCAGTCTGTTTTTCCAGTCTTCCTCGCCACTCTTTTTCAACAGTGCCAGCCTAGGAGGAAAGCACGCCAACCGCAAAGTGTTCAAACTCTTACTTGGAAGAGACCCATAATTTAGGTGAGCTAGAAGTCTTTGGCCAATAAATGATCACTGCTACCTAATTTTAGACTTTTTGAGTTTCTTGTATTCTGAGGAATATATGTCTGGAAAAATAACAGTAAATAAATAAATAAATAATAATAATCCTTTCTCAGATGCCCCCCCCCAATTTTATACTTAACTTAAATGCAAACTTGAAATCAGATAAAAGATGCACCCTCATTCCAGTAAAGGAATATCTCTGTTCTTCCCCCCTTGTCCTTGGGTTGAGCAAGGAAAAGAGAAAAGTTAACTGTCCCAGTGGGGGGGGGGGGGGGGGGGGGGGGGGGGGGGGGGGGGGGGGGGGGGGGGGGGGGGGGGGGGGGGGGGGGGGGGGGGGGGGGGGGGGGGGGGGGGGGCTTCTAGCGACCCCTTCTGGTTACTTGATGAAACAACATTAAATGATTAAAATGGTGTAGTAGTTCTTATTTGCAGAAAAAATAGCAGAAATGGGTTTAAAAACATAAAGCTATAAAACACAACCTCTTACTATCATACCTTTCAATAAACGGTAAAACATGATGTTTATGACTTTCCCCCTCTGTATTCTAAGACCTGTTCTTTTTCTACAAACTTGGTCTTTCCAACCTATCTTCTTAATACAGAAACTATTTCCTACAAACCCATTTAAAAAAATTATTACTTCAACTTTCCTCAAGGGAAAGATATATACAAAAAAAGAATCTAATTAAGTGAGAGTGTTACCCAACCTACTTTAGTTCAACTATGTTGTGATTTGATATAAAGCTATTTGGATATTATGACCTCTGAAAGGTTATTTTCACAAACATGAAGCTGTTTCAGCTAATTGTATTATAACAAATGAAGAAGTCTTACACATTTAAGTTGAAAAAACTTGGGAAAGATAAAAGTTAAAAAAGTGGTGATCATTTTAAACTCATTTGATGTTCAAACAACTTAAAGATTAGGGGGAAAAATGCTTGGACTCCTTTCCCTCTCTGTCAAGCCTGATGGGCAAGGTCTTTTCAACATAATTCATGCATAACCCATAAGCAGTGTATTTTTAGGCAGCACATCAGCTCTAGTCCCAGTTTGGCCATTAACTCCATTCAAATACTGTGATTCTCCTCCTTTCCTTATTTGTCATATCAGGAACTGGATTAGATGATCTCTCAGGGCCTGTATGCTGTTTCTTTTTCCTGATTCTATTAAATATTTGAGTTGGAGATGGAATAAAACATACATTCGTCCCTCAGTATCTGTGGGGGATTGGTCCCAGGACCATCCACAGATATCAAAATCCATGGATGCTCAAGTCCCTGATATAAAACAGCATAATATTTGCATATGACCTATGCACATCCTCCTGTACACAGTTGACCCTTGAACAACAGAGGTTATAGGTGTTGACCGCCTGCACAGTTGAAAATCTCTGTATAACTTTTGGCTCTCCAAAAACTTAACTACTAACAGCCTGCGGCTGATTGGAAGGAACATTTACTGACAACAGAAATAGTTGATGAGCACATATTCTGTATGTTATATGTATTACCTACTGTATTCTAACAATAAAGTAAGCTAGAGGAAAAAAAAATGTTATTAAGAAAATCATAAAGAGGGAAAACACATTTACAGTACTATATTGTATTTATCAATACCATGAGTTTATGTTGTCTGTTTGTAAGAAGAATCATCTGTCTGTATTTATTTTTTAAAAAATCCATGTATAAGTAGACTCATACAGTTCAAACCCATGTTGTTCAAGGATCAACTGTACTTTAAATCATCTTGGACTTCCAATCAAGACGACAGAATAGATGGTTCCCAGTGTCACCCTTCCCCATAATCAACCAATTTGCAACTATTAAAAAGCAACAACAGCCATGCCGGAGCCACTAGAGCTCAGGGGAAGAGGAGGAGAGACCTACCGAGTTCATGAAGGCAGGAGAAGCCATGATGAGAGAAAGAACTGCTCTGACCATTTCGAGCCCCAAACACTTCAAGGCTGGCCCTAGTGAGCACACAGAGCAAGAGCTGGCAAAAGCTGCAGCTGTGCCCTTCCTATGAAGTTGCTTGGAGGCTGCAGGGGAGAAGAGGGTCTTGGTGGACCCCAGGCCAGCAAGACCACTGACTGGTTCCCATGGATCCACATATGAACAAAGAGCCACAGACAAATGAAAAAAGGAGCCACTCAGAGGCTGGTGAGTCATCTCAAAGGACCAGTGCATGGCCCATCCCATGGGAAGTGTTTGGAGTGCGGGCGGTGGTGGAGATGGACCACTAGGGGAACACTGGGGCACAGCATGGACAGCTGATCTACCCCCCAATCGGCACAGGCCCACTCAGAGGAGACTGGCCAGGAATATAGAACTTCAGGGGTGGAGTTTGCTGAAAAGACTCAGGCCCAGACCAGAGTTTCCAGACAACCCAGGTGTACTGGACCTCACAAGACCTGGAAGTGATTACAAGATCAACAATTAAAACCTGAGCTACACAAAAAGCCTTCCCCAGGAAATCAGCAGGAAAGCAGCAATTTAGCTCAACCACAGGGCCCAAGTGCTGGTTTCCACAGGAAGCTCCCCCATTTTAGAAGTAAGCAAAGGAAAATAAGTTTCAGTGCAGAGTTTAAGTGGTGGGAATAGCAAATCCAATACAGAACTGAAACAAACAAACAAAAAACTCACAGATCAGAGACAAAGTTCTGATATTAACCAGTAAAAGTCTAACAACACCAAAGAACACCTACAAAACTTAGAAGGACTGGAAACTCCCTAAGCTCCCAAGCTGGGGTGGGGAGAGGGCCAAGGGCCTCAGCCCCCCCCCCCCCCCACCCCCCCCCCCCCCCCCCC